CAGGTAATAAATTTTATAATTTAATATTGCACCTTTTGATTTTGTTGGATTATAAGCATATTTTCGACCAGCAAATGATTATATTATAACTACTTTGAATGCAATTCTCTAAATACATGCATGTTCCTGCCTAAATAGGTTTGTGGCATGGTCCACACCATTCAAGTGCATAATTTAATCAACAAACCCCTCCTTCAAATCCTAATTAGCACTATGTATATGGTATGTAAAATCTATTTAAAAGGTGTGTGATCACTAGTTCAATTTAGTACTTACCTTGTTCACTGATGCTATTAAAAAGCTATATAAATTGTATTTAACTCACCTTAAAAAGACAATTGGTTACCTATGTTTTCTCTATTTTAATTCTATTAAAAGGCTATTAAGTTTATTTTCAGTTGTCTCAGCTTCAACTTGCTCCTATTTAAATACTATGTGACTTGGCATTTCAAACCTATGCAGATGCTATTTATATGCTATCTTTAATTTTCTATGCTAGCCTGCTCAAAAGTGTATTACATAGCTTTTACCTACACTTTGTAAAGGTTCTGTTTGACTGGTAAAAAAGTACAATTTTTTATCAAAATATATAGCAAAAGTCATAGCAATTACACACCATTTGAATAACACCCCCTCTGTCACTTTTAACATAGAATTTTAATACCCTGTACCTACCTTTTACATAGAGCAGCCACATAGCATTTACATAGGTAAAAAGCTATATAAATTGTATTTAACTCACTTTAAAAAGACTATTGGTAACCTATGTTTACTCTATTTTAATTCTAATAAAAGGCTATTAAGTTTACTTTCAGTTGTCTAAGCCTCAACTTGCTCCTATTTAAATACTATGTGAATTGGGATTTCAAACCTATGTAGATGCTGTTTATATGCTATCTTTAATTTTCTATGCTAGCCTGCTCATATGTGTATTACATAGCTTTTACCTACACTATGTAAAGGTTCCATTTGACTATTAAAAAAATAGGATTTTTTATCAAAATATATACCAAAAGTCATAGCAATTACACACAATTTGAATAACACCCTCTCTATCACTTTAAACATAGAATTTTAATACCCTGTACCTACTATTTACATAGAGCAGTCACGTAGCATTTACATAGGCAATATATAGTGTCTGATTCTACAAGGGTTAATCATTTATCTTTACATTTTTTATCTCATTTTGTTAATTATTAATGTTATTTTATGTCTGGCGTGATGGCCCCTCTTTGCAAGACTAATAAATGTAGATGTAGATGTATTTTACAATACACATTCGCTAAGACT